AGTAAACACTCTTTATTTAAAAAAATGAAGATAAAAAAACCTTCAGAAAAGTAAGACCCTGGTCGGTCTTTTAAAAACGCATTTTTAAAAGGTTTTTAAGGTTAGTTAGTAAGTGAAATCGTTAGCTTTCCTTTGATTTATTTCCTCTTGGAACCACGAAATAAATCACTATAATAAGTAGCCTASCAGTAAACTGCTTTTAAATTTAAAAATTTAAACATCTTTTCTCGCATAAAATGTCACCTAAGCTAATCGTTATTCTGACATGAAATATGCCGCCATATTATAAACAGTTACGTTATCAAATACAAAGGATGAGAGTAATAACAGTTTCAGACTTATTTTTCAAGAAGTCTAAGAGTGAAAAAAATAAGCGAAAGTAGAAATTTCCTCTTTGTATAAACAAATGAAACAATATTAAAAGAAAAAACATAAATCATGCCAACATGTTGTCGCGACGGAGATGGTGTCATTTGGAAAACTGTGAAATTGATCGTTTTCAACCATTCCCATGAGATTCAAAAGATAAATGACCGGCGGCCATATTGGAGGAATATCTAATGTAGACACTAATGAGAAATCTTTTGTTGAAGTTCCTCCAAGATGGSCGMTGGGATGTAACCTAAAAACGAAGAATTCGAAACGAAATGCATGCTTTTARAATAATGAACACCGTTTTTATGACTAGGAAACTTACGCAAAGATTTTTAGGATAAAAACAACAGCAATAACATCAACAATAACTACAAAAAGGTGYCTATGTCATTATGCAAGCGCAAAGGCTATTTCCAGAGATGATCTTTCTTCATTGCAGAGACGCGAGAAATGATATCGCTCTTCTTTTATGAAAAGAAGTGARAAAGAATAAAATAAAATAAAATAAATATATTCCACAATATGTCTGAAACTTGCGCAGACTTACCTAACTTTAAGAATGTAGTATTATTGTAAAACGAAAATAGTTACTCAACCGCTTTTAAACTTTTGAAGTCTTCATTCTCAAGGGTGAACACTGCCATGTAATRCCCTGTTTTGTCCGGATGTCGATCGTGTTTTACCCGTTTGCACTGGGTGATTGATTTGCGACCAGGCCTGCATATGAATTCGCCAAGGTTGTAAGCCAGTGAGCCCGTGCATTTTTGTTAAGCGGTCATATTTGAAAGTGTAAATAAAGGAAAGGGAAAACCCGCAGCTCTCCTTTCACTCAGATAAACAGTACAAGTCGTGTTAAATTTATTTACAAAACTAAACAAATGATTATAGAATTAAACCTTTAAGAATTGAATGCTCATATCAAACATTTTCCACCTTAAATACACACGTGTTTTTCAGAAGGGAATTTAGTTGAACTTTTTTCACGATGGAATTTTGTTTTGAGTCGTTTCAACATAAACAGTCGCTATCATGCTATCAAGAAATTACACGAAAAACCCTAGTCAACGTTC